CCTTTGCGGCTCCGCCTATATAAGCGCTGGCTTGTTGTTGTAATTTATTGTCAGTCGATAGCACGACAGGTGACGAGTAAGTCAACCAAACTTACGAATTCTTGCGTACCTGCGGTAACAATTTACATCAAAATTTATTGTATTTTGTGTTTGAGCCTTCCAGATCACTCATTGTGTGTTTTTAATTTTAATTTTGTAGCCTGATGAGGCTGACGCATATTGTCAGCGAAACGTTGCGCATTAATAAATCAACGCAAGAAAATTTAAATACACTTTACTTGTATTTATTTATTTTCTCACATTTCGCCCCCAACGGATCACTGATCACTTTGAATTTCCAAATTCACCGGAGGGCACTGATATATCCAAACAAACCAATAATAATAATAATAATAATAATAATAACGATCTACGTCAAAGTCGTGCTTTTCGAGGCATTGTTATACATCGGAAAAGCCGCGTTTTCACGCTCACGTGGTTTTTTTTAAATGTCCCGTCGGTTTTATCGATTCACTTTGTACCATTACCACATAGCCTGAGAACCCAATAGGTCTAAAGTGATGGGGCAACTAGAAAAAGATAAATTTATTTTTAAAAGCCATTACCCGGGAGAACAATGAATCGGTACTCCACTGTTGACAGATAAAAGAAATAACGTGACTTGTAACTCAACTGTGGCCAGACACCGTGTCTGCTCACTGTAAATTACTCTTTTACCCGCGTGATTAGCTATGTATATTACATTCATTTATTCAAATACATTCATTCGTCCTCCCTGACAACAATAAACTATTTTCTTCTACGTGGTTTTGTTTATTTTTTTTTTTTCTTCTTTTACAATTTTACTTGTTTTGCTAAAAGTGATTAATGCTTTTTACTAAACAATCTTTTTTTTTTATTATTTACGGCGTATTTGAGCAATAATTGATTACTTGGAAAAGTTATTTACAGATCGGATGAATAAATCACACGATTTTAATTGCCTCCGAGTTTATAACAAAGAAAGTGCGCGGATCCCTATCTGTGCGTAATTTCAATCATATTGTGCCGATAAGGACGTAATTATTCAATTGTAGAATGCGATGGATTATGTAAGGTATATGAAACGCGTATGAAAATTTATTGCCTCGATAAGAATTACTTTTTATTCACTCGAACGCAAAACATGGAGGAAAAAAAAAAATTTGCAGCTCGTAAAAAAAAAAATGTTAAACGCGAATTTCAATGTTGAATAATCATTATTATACATGATCACGTAAGGTATATGAAACGCGTATGAAAATTTATTGCCTCGATAAGAATTACTTTTTATTCACTCGAACGCAAAACATGGAGGAAAAAAAAAAATTTGCAGCTCGTAAAAAAAAAAATNTATCCTTATTGTTCGAAAAACCCGGGCTCGAGTAAAGCAATGGACAGCCACCGTAAACCGTACGACTTTTCTCTTACAATATATCAAGGACACGCGTCCTTGACGTGCGTGAAGAAAGTAAATACCGTCTACAGAAATTTTGTCTCCCGATTGTTACATAAATGCAGATTTACGGTGACGGTTATGCCAATTCTTACATTTTTCTAGCACACGTATACATACAATTCTCCTGCCCTCTTTTGCTGAAGGTGCCATTTTTTTCCCTCAAATGTTTCGACCTGATGCGCGCTTGCACAATAGTAAAAAAAAAAAAAAAAAAAAAAAAAAAAAAAAAAAAAAAAAAAAAAAAAAAAGACAATGTATCAGCATTGAAACATTTCTTTCAGCGATCGGCTATTCAGAACAATGGCAGACATCGTGGTATCCGAGGGGTACGCATCGGTGGGGTACGAGTACATAAACATAGACGACTGTTGGCTGGAAAGGGAGCGCGCACCCGATGGGCAACTCGTGCCCGACAAGGAACGCTTTCCCTACGGAATGAAGAGCCTGTCCGATTACGTAAGTTTGCAAAAAAAAACAATAATAATATCTCTTACCTGTACTCGCTCACCTTATCTCTCCGTTGCACAATGACCCATTCAGACAAGGGTATTTAATTTGGCATGGTAATTTAGATGATTGATTTCATTGAAACTGTGTACATCCCCGTCGAGTATACGATAATATGTTGTGCCGAGACAAAGGTTGATCGTTTGACTCCCTTTGTTTGTAGATCCACTCGAAGGGATTGAAGTTCGGCATCTACGAGGATTTCGGTAATTTCACGTGCGCCGGGTATCCCGGAGTCATAGGGTACCTCGCGAACGATGCGGACCTGTTTGCCTCGTGGGACGTGGATTACGTGAAACTCGATGGCTGTTACGCTCTTCCCCGTGATATGGATCAAGGTATAAACCATATACATTGCGATGGAGGAAAAATTTCCTATTGTCTATAACAATGCAATTTCTTTTTTTTTTTTTTTTTTTTTTTTTTTTTTCCCAGGTTACCCTGAATTTGGTTTTCACTTGAATCGGACCGGAAGACCGATGATTTACTCGTGCAGTTGGCCGGTTTATCAAATATACGCAGGCATGCAGGTGACGCATACGATTTGTCAACTTTTTTTTTTGTAAACGTTTTGATCCTAAAGGAAAATATTGCTTCCAGCCAAATTACAGTTCGATTATCGAGCATTGCAACTTGTGGAGGAATTTCGATGACATTCAGGATTCTTGGAGCAGCATCGAAACAATTATAGATTATTACGGCAATAACCAAGACGCGATAGTGCCAAACGCGGGACCGGGCCACTGGAACGATCCCGACATGTTGATCGTTGGTAATTTCGGCTTGAGTTACGAGCAAAGCAAAACGCAAATGGCCCTTTGGGCCATACTCGCGGCTCCTTTGCTCATGTCCGTCGATCTTCGAACCATCAGACCAGAGTACAAAGCTATCTTACAGAATAAGAAAATTATCGAAGTGGACCAGGATCCCCTTGGTATTCAAGGTCGGCGAATCTACAAAGTGAGTCTAGTGTACTTTGAAAAATCGTATAACTGTGTGTGCATGACCTTTCAAGTATATTAAATTTACTTTTTTTTTTTTTTTTTTTTTTTTTTTTTTTCCACAGCACAAGGGCATTGAAATCTGGGCAAGGCCTATAACTCCAGTTTACCAAAACTACTACTCATACGCCATCGCGTTCCTTAACAGAAGAACCGATGGTACACCCTCTGATGTGTCGGTTACTCTTAAAGAGCTTGGTCTACAGTACCCCCATGGATACAGAGTAGAGGTAAACACTTTCAATCGTTGTTGCGGATGTACCTTTTTTTTTTATTTGTCACTTATATACGATTTAATTTGTCTCGTAGGACCTGTACGAAGACGTCGATTACGGAGTTCTCACGCAATACACGAAGATCAAAGTCAAAGTGAATCCATCCGGTGTCGTTATTCTGCGATGTGATCTACAGTTCGATCACCCCAATCAGTATACGCAATACACGCCCCTTCAACAAGTGTTCAAAGTCAGGCACAACTCGTTTTAAGAAATTACCATTGTAAATTAATTATTAAACAAATTTAATTATTATTATTATTATTATAGTNTTTTTTGTAATAAATTGTTTATAAAATATGCGTGACCATACTGTGTTAAGGCTGTAAAAATAAACTATTTGACATAAAACGAATTATGTAGACTGATATATTTCATAGATAAATTAATTTGACTTACATCATCGGGTTCCCATAAATTTTTGAAAGAAAAATTTCTGCATTAATTTTATATACTTTCTGATGATAATGTAAAAATTTCGTGTGCATTAAATTAGTCGTAATAATGGCTACAAAAATATGTATTACATGTATAACAAATACTCATACATTTTTAAACATCAGGGTACTTGTGGTTTGATTTGAAAATTCTTTATAGGTATAAGTTTTTTTGAAAAAAGTTTTCTACTTACTCTAGTTTATCGACCTCAAGTGACATAAAAACATATATATACGTAAAACTCATACATACAGATATAGCCGCACATATATATAAGTGCAAAGTCGAGAGCAGAGTGCCGATCGAGTGAACAACTATGTGACGTTAATAGAAAGTTTTACCTTAGTTTTTCTATTGAACCGTATTGTTTAGTGTTGAAAAAATTTCGTCAAAATGAAGACAGCATTTATGGTAGCCGAAAAACCATCTCTGGCCGCGTCTCTCGCCAATATTTTAAGCAATGGAAGATGCACCACTCGAAAAGGTAGGTTATGTTTTTCGGAGCCGTCTGCTACATTTACATTTGTTATGTACTTTTAATTAACAACAAAAACATAACAACACTTGCAAGTATCTCCCTCAGTTATTTTAACTTATTAAACAATTGAGTTAAAAAACTGGCTATGTCATTAAAACTTGCACATGTGTATTAACTTTTTATGTGGGTTACTTTGTTTGATTGAATAAATATTGAGGATGATTATTTGATAAAGTATAGTTATTTACTTTTTTGCAAGGTTCAAATGGCTCGTGCTCTGTCCATGAGTGGATGGGTCAGTTCAGAGGTGAAAATGTTAATTTTAAAATGACCTCCGTTTGTGGGCACGTTATGAGCTTGGATTTCATTGGAAAATACAACAATTGGGACAAAGTTGATCCAGTAAGTTTTTAAAACAGTATCTGTTGTTTTGGTTTGACAGATGATAATGCTACCTTTGCTTGCAGGCAGAGCTCTTTACTTGTCCTACGGAAAAAAAAGAAGCAGTTCCAAAACTCAAAATACCCAATTTCCTTTTGAAAGAAGGTGGAAATTGTGATTATTTAATATTATGGTTGGATTGCGATAAGGAGGGTGAAAATATTTGTTTCGAGGTGATTCAAGCTGTTCAGCAGGGCAACAGGAGATTGAACCCAGATGTAAGGCATTTATATTGTAGTAAATTCAACATTAAATTTATCACACATGTGTCTATATTCTATATTGAAAAATTTTTTCAGGACATCTGGAGAGCTAAGTTTTCTGCAATCACTGATAAAGACATTAAAGCTGCAATGGCTAATCTTGCCAAGCCGAATGAAAATGAGGCCAAAAGTGTTGATGCTAGGCAAGAGCTTGATCTGCGCATCGGATGTGCATTTACAAGATTCCAAACCAAGTTTTTTCAAGTAAGAGAATTTTTTTCAACTTGAGAAACCTGTTTATGATACAAGTTTTGATCAATACTCATATATGAAATCATTAGGGAAAATACGGCGATTTAGATGCTTCATTAATTTCCTATGGACCATGCCAAACTCCTACATTAGGATTTTGTGTTCAGAGGCATGATGAAATTCAAACATTTAAACCAGACCCATATTGGGTACTTCAGGTACTAACAACTAAAACTTGAAAACTTTTAATACTCGTATTTGTGTCAAACCGAAACCAACTACTTCGATAATTTTATTTCAGGTTACAGTCAAGTCCTCAGATGGATTGGACATAGTTTTAAGTTGGTCTAGAGTTAGATCCTTTGATAAAGAAGTAGCTAATATATTTCTCAGTATAGTAAAAGAATTCGATCAGGCAACGTAAGTTTATCATAACATGTCATGGATTATTCCTGAAAATGAATTTACTAAATTCGACCTCTTTGTTTATAGGGTTTTAAGCATTCAAAGTACCGAAAAATCAAAGTCAAGACCCATAGCTTTGAATACTGTCGAGCTAATGCGAGTTGCTAGCTCTGGATTGGGTATGGGGCCACATCACGCTATGCAAATTGCGGAACGTCTTTACACTCAGGGATACATAAGTTATCCTCGAACTGAAACTACGTCCTACCCAGAAAACTTCGATTTACTGTATACTGCACATTTTTATAATCAAATTTTCTCGGTTAGGAAGATTGTAATAATTTCAAACTCATTCTAGATCGACCTTGAGGCAGCAGCAAAACAGCTCAGACTGGGGAGACGAAGTTAGAAAAGTTTTGAGTAATGGTATTAATAAACCGAAAAAAGGTCACGATGCTGGAGACCATCCTCCCATAACACCCATGAAATCAGCTAGCAGAAACGAATTGGATGGAGATTCTTGGAGGCTCTATGACTACATAACGAGGCACTTTATTGCAACTGTAAGTTTATTACATACAAAATTGTTTTCTTTTAAGTTTGGTTCTAAATAAAATCCAATTTTTAGGTGTCACGAGACTGCAAGTACCTTAGCACCACCATTAGCATTGAAATTGGATCAGAAATATTTACAGTCACAGGACATTCATTAATTGACCCTGGATACACTAGTTTGTTAACTTGGCAAGCTTTGAGCAACAACGAATCGATCCCTAGATTCCAAATCGGCGAAAAAGTTAAAATCGTCGAAGTGAGTTTTGCCAATCTATTTTCTCGTCATACAGAATTCAAAATTTACATCCAAAATAATTTCAGGCGAAACTAAATGAGTGTTTCACCCAACCCCCGGACTACCTAACCGAATCAGAATTAATTACGCTTATGGAGAAACACGGTATTGGAACCGATGCGTCTATACCCGTTCACATAAACAACATCTGCATAAGAAATTACGTAAATGTAGCATCGGGCAGAAAACTCGTGCCTACGTCGCTCGGCATCGTTTTAGTTCACGGATACCAAAAAGTAAGCTTTAAAATCCTCAGTACTATTTTTCAAATCGAATAACTACTTTCCTATGTGCCTCCATTCAGATCGACCCAGAATTAGTTTTGCCAACAATGCGTTCTGCGGTGGAGGAACAATTGAATCTCATAGCAGTCGGTCGCGTCGATTTCCATCCAGTGTTGCAGCACACGGTCGAAATCTTCAAGCAAAAATTCCACTACTTTGTCCAAAGCATCGACGCAATGGACCAACTATTCGAGGTCTCCTTTTCCCCGCTCTCCGCGTCCGGAAAGTCACACTCAAGGTGCGGCAAATGTCGGCGCTACATGAAATACATACAGACCAAGCCATCCCGATTGCACTGCGCCCACTGCAACGAAACGTACAATCTGCCGCAGAACGGCAACATTCGCATTTATAAGGAACTCAAGTGCCCTTTGGACGATTTTGAACTGCTCTCCTGGTCTACGGGAACGCGTGGCAAAAGCTACACCTTCTGCCCATACTGCTTCAACAATCCACCGTTCAGGTAACATCCAAGCTAAATTTTTTTAAAACTATTTACTTAAAAAAAATAAACGTTTTGATATTAACCTAATGAATTTCAGAGATATGAAGAAGGGTTCGACCGGCTGCAACGCTTGCACGCATCCTACCTGCCCGCACGGACTGAACTCGAATGGCCTGTCAAGCTGTTTGGAGTGCGACAGTGGCATCCTAGTGTTGGACCCTTCGGCCGCTCCGAAATGGAAACTCGTGTGTAACAAGTGCGACGTGATTATCCATCTGTTTGAAGGCGCGCATAAAGTCATGGTGTTGGCGGACGACGTTTGCGATTGCGGAGCTCAACTAGTCACTGTCGAGTACAAGCAGGTGAGTTTTTTTTTAACGTATAAACAATTTTTTATTTTTAGAGAGCATTGTACGATTTTTAAAACCCTGAAACTACAATGACACCATGTATTCCCATTTGTTTCACAGGATAAGAGCAAACTGCCAAACGAAGAGACAGAGATGACAGGCTGCGTCTTCTGCACGCCGGCATTCACGAGTTTGGTGGAGAAGCATCGAGCTGTGGCTTCGAAACCAGTGGCTACTCGTGGCCGTGGACACGCCAAGAGCCGCAGCCGCGGCAAGCCGCGTCCCCCCAAGGATAAAATGGCGCAGCTGGCTGCCTACTTTGTCTAACGTCGTTTTCTTCTTATACTTGACAACTTTTCACATACTGATCGTCATTTTTTTTTTTATAGCTGCTTTTTGTAACTACGCATTTTTCTTTGTTTTTTCAACACAAGTGAATGGAGTGAAAAGCATGATGATCTTTGGTAAATAGTCAACATCGTTTTTTCCATCTGCGTTTGGAGTTCAGCTCCTTGCTTGTTCGCAAAAGTTGACCAACAATAGTAGGATAACTTTTTTTTATTTCTAGATGCTGGTACACGCCATTCAATAGATTTGCTTTCCAAAAGTTTTCGATTAAATCTTATTTTTGTATTAATTTTTTTTAATCGATTTATTAGGTGAATCGATGCTCGATAGAATTACCGAATCGCCAAACCCTTTTTATTTAGAATTGTATGATAAACACAACGCGTAATTACACGAGATTAAAAATTTAATTTTTTTAATTTAATCAACTAATAACTGTAGCATAGAATAGAATACTCGCCGAGATTTAATTATCACTCGCAATCGTGCATGTGTATGTACTTACAGAGTGAACAACAATGCATCTCAATCGAACGGAGAAAATATGCAAACCGCGAATCAAAATCAAAGTTGCGTCTCTTGCCGTGACGATTGGCATGGCTGTTGTAGATTTCGATGTAAACTCGTGCAGCTAACCATAAAGTAATGTATTTATATCATTTACGCATACGTACGTGAATAAAGCAAAAATTTAGTAAGTGAAATCGATAATGAATTGAATTCAATGGTAAAGCATAAAGCGTCCCAGCTTTCACTCCTTTTAATCAGAAAAAAAGCACATCCTGTAACACTTGATGTGAGGGTGGCCGATTTTAGCCACGAAAAAGCTACGAGCAACATCATCATGTACCAAAGTAAAAAAAAATGGAGCAATCTTCCATGCGCATGTATAAGTCGTTTGTATGTGCATACATGTACACGTCCAAGATCTCACAAAAAAAGCAAAAACAAGAAAAAAACGAGAACAGGTGAGTAAAGATGTCTCATATGTGGTGCGCTATACCGTATCGTGTCGTTCATATGACCATCTCATTTTTCTTTGATAGATGAATGTAAATTCGGCTAGCTTCTGCGGCCCCTTGATCGCAGTTGTCTTTTTTTTTTTTCTTCCTCCACGCCGATTTGACAGAGTAACAGCAGCACTATATGCCCGAGGACTTGAAAACGATGCAACCTGTTGTATGTATGCTAAGTTCTTTTCTTTTCATGTATATATTTATATTCATCCCCATCTCATCTTTTTTTCGTTTTTAATGAATTGAACCGCAATTCAGCCGATCTATCAGGAAAAAAGGGGACCACTTGGCTCTGACAATGGCGTGTATATTTTAAGTTAAAAACCAAAGGTTTTTTTTTTTATCCTAGATGACTTCTTTTTTTCTCTCCTCCGGCGACAAATGACTCCAGCCACTTTTTTTCTTGTTAAGGCTGGTATAGCCCATTGCAGGTAACGCTTGACTTCATATTGTATGGCAAAATAAAAATACGCAGCATAAGTTTGCCGGAAGCGAGAAAAATCAATATTAATCTTAAGAAAGATATTTCCCGTTTCACACGTGTGTGCTTTATGTATGAATGATAAGTGCTGATGTGGACATTTTCACGAGGAAATAAACACAATTGAAAGTCGCGAGAAAAAATTATTTTTTAAACACGACCATGTATTTTTTGGCAACTGATCGTCGCATACGTTATCAACGAAGAAAAAAATAACTCCAATCCTTGAAGTAGGTACTTAGGTACTACGGTAACGCATGGCCATTGCGAATTTTTTTTCTCTTGATATAATTCGTGAAAGTCGCAATTAGCTGAAAAATGTTCAGCTGCGTTGCGCGTCGTAAAACGTACTTGCCTATTCTTTCTTATTACTTTTAAATCATCATTAAGAGAAATTAGAACAGCCCGAAAAAATACCATCTCTCGGAAGACGTTTATAACGAGGTTGTAAACAATTTTTTTCATTTTTCATTTTAATTGTTCAACTCCAAAAAAATATACTCGCGACCGATCCAAAAGCCAACTAGTTTATTAGTATTATCTCTTTTGAGAATTTTTTAACAACCACAAACATATTTATCATCGGCAAGTCGTACTTTTTTCTTTAAACTTCCATTGAAATTATCGTTAATCAATGTGTAAAAAACAAAACCCATATGGACCATTGGATGAAAAAGTACGAGATTTTTTGTAAACACTTTCCCTCCCCCCCCCCCTATCCTCTAATGTACTTTTCATTCCCAGCGATATTTTTCGACCCATTTGTTCAACTTCATATTAACGTGCAAAGTTATTTAACGACTTTCCCAATGGTACTGCCGGGTGGATATAAAAAAAAAGTTGGAGCGTTACCGCGCACTGCGTATATATCTATAAAATAATTATACTTGTGCATGTGCGCAGCGTCAGCAGGAGCTCGTTCTATTTGGCACCTTTTTCCCTGTCATTCGTCAAATGCATGCATTATGGAACAATGATAATGTCCAGCGCCGACGTCCCACAAAGTTTTATCTTTTTCATTGAAAAAAAAAAAAGTATGACAAATCGCGTGAAACAACAACAAAAACAATAATACAACTTTTTGCGTGAATCATTATGTAGCACGTGTGTGTTGGTTGGTGCTTTGGAAAGAAGAGACATTTACCATAAAATTGTATATGTACATACGTATTGCTATTCACCCCAAAATCTTTTCAACACAAAACACTGAAGAATATCTCTCGTGTATACCCCTTGTCCGTGAAAGGGGAAATCCTATATAACAAAAAAAATCCACGCCCCTTCGGAATAGATACTTTTTATGTTTCCAAAAATGTAAAAAAAGTGGGTAATGCATAGGATAGGAACTTTTTCTTCTAGTTTTCTCGTTTATTTTGTGTGATGGACAGCGAAACAATTATCGTTTTTTTTAATACTTCAGAAAAAACTTTTTTTAGATTTTTAAATGACGAAACATCCACAAAGTGTTCATCTATAATTTTTTTAACTTCACAATTCTTCACGAAGTACTTATACAAAGCTCACAAAAAAATTACTAAAAAGATTTTCACCTGATAAAAAGTGTTGTACTATTTGTTTTACTTTTTTCGAGAGACTCTTTTCCTACATTTTTTCCTTCTCGTAGAAACTTTCATGCACGTATACCCACTCGGTACACGTTACATATACTCAGCCCAATTCAACAGTAGAAAGGTATATACGCGTAGGATATCGGCACGTACGTACAGATCGACGAACTTTGAAAATTTCCGACAATAAGCTCATACACCGCGAGCGTCGACCGAATAAACGAATATCACCTCCTTTCCCTCCCTCGTGAACCCCCGCATGAGTATACTGCAAAGGACCTATACAATCTTCTTATCCCGCTCCGCGATCATTTTTCTCTCCCCTACCTCTGTACTACATTGTATTCTCATCCTATCCGTTTACATTTTAGGTGCAGAGAGAAAAAAAAAAATCAAGACTGGCTCCCTCGATGATGTGGGATTATATTATTGTATGTACATCGGGTGACGATTGTTTTAAAAATTGAGGTGATACCAAACATTTTAGTTACACTCCATGAGCATGTAGAAGTTACAAAAAAAAAGTCGCACTTTTTGACTATAATAATTCCCAAGTTCTTTCTGATGCTAATAACGGGGGGTGGAGATGGCGCACGAAACTCTCCGAATTCGCAAGCTCACGGTCTTCCCTCAAACTTTTCTCTCGCGTCCGTTTCTCCCGTGGTCTTGCCTCGGACAACCGTATCTCTCGACACGGTATACTCGCGGAAAGTTCGTCTTCCCGCTTCGTTTGTTCTTTTCTTAAGATTTTATCAACTTGGCCACCTCCTTTCCCACAAAGTGTACGTATTATGAGCCACGAGTTTGTTTCCGCGGTCATTGTGGTGTACATACCCAAGCACTTCCGGTCGAGCGTGTTTTTGGTCCCGACAAGTTTATTTTCAAGCGACACCTTGTTGTTTTTTCTGTTTTGCTTCCCGTTGATAATTTAAAGCCAATACGATCAACACACTTTCGATGGGTTGCAATTAAATGTAAAACTGTGGGTACACGTGTGCATTTTCGTAGGTTTGATAATTATTAACGCGCTCTCGAGATTACCCGTATACTTAGGAGGTAATAAGATAGGATTGCGAGCCTCTTAATGCGGTCATGAAATTCTGTACTGACCCTCTGGTTTTCCGATTAATCGAGAATAAGTGCGCCTTCGTCTTCAATTCATTTTGATATACTATAATGCAGTTTCGTACCCAACGTCCTCGTAATCGCCGTATTATCATTATTGCGATGACACCCTGAGAAGTGATAGAGTTACGATGTGGGCAAAACCATTGGCAAAAAGGCCTTTACCTCGAAAGAGACTCCAATCCAACGAAATTGCACAGACAAATTGTCCTGTGCTGCAGAACCACCAAAATGCCTACGATGAAAAGTACTGCTTGTTTTTTTTTTGCATAAATTTCTTCTAGAACTTTCAATTCTAACATCATATACCTATTACATCCACTTTTGCGTATCATCGGCACTTTAGAAAGAAAAAAAGAAGTAAGCTCAGCCTTCTGTTTCGTGTGTTGCAACATATAACATCTTTGCGGGAATAATATGTCTTCTTCGAAAAAAGAAAGATCGCGTGGGCGCGTCAATGATTGATCCTCACCGTTGCGTTCTTTAACGCCTCGACTGTGTAAATAAAAAAACCAAGAGGTCGTATCCCGAGCATTTAACACTTACGCCCTCGACGTATTAAAGTTAGGAAGTGAGTTTTTCTTTTTTGCGGAACACGTGGCCGATATCGGTAATATAGATTTTTTTTTTTTTTTTTTTTTTTTTTTTTTTTTTTTTCCACNTTTTTTTTTTTATATTATAGTGCTTTACGTCCGGCTCCTATAAAGGGCACTACACAGGGCACTTAGCACTTGGGAGAAGGAAGGGAAGAGGGATGGGAGGCCTCACAATACTGGGAGGGGGGTAGGGGGAGATTAGGCAATTTTGCTGCGAGAAGGTCGCCTAAACCCTCCTCGAGGAGCATTGCGTGGTGAAAAAGCACATGTGAGAATCACAGAGGTACTTGCCCGAAAAAGTCGTACTATGGCCGGGAATTGATCCACGGTCTCCCGCGTCTCAATCCACGACCTAGCCGACTGAGCCACCGCGCGCTCCCGGTAATATAGATAATACCGATCTATAGCTCCTGATGCGAAAATCATTGAATTACCCAAAGAGCCGCTCTTTTTGCACTTACCGCGCAGGCGAAAAAGTACTCACTACCTTCCCTACTCGACACCTTAATCTACAAAGTTCGCAAAGAGTCGATTTGGCAAAAATTCGCGTGCTCGTACACGTGCTGAAAGGTTAAAGATTATATATACCTATACATGCTTGAAAGTTCAGCCACGGCGTCACTTTTGACGATGGCGACGTCGTTAATAGGTGCAACTTGAGGGAGGCAAGCATTTTAAACTCGCTTTGCACTTCTTATTGCTTTTTGTTTTTTTAATTCTTTAAATTCTTAACTTTGTAGTATATAATAAAATAAAGATCAAATGTAGGTGTACAATTGAGCTGCGCAGGCCCAAGTCTCTATTTCTGGGTCCGGACAGCGAATATATGCAACTTTAAGAACTTTAGCGCCTCGTTAGGAGCGAAGCCAT